GTTGTATGGATGCAAACTAATTAACTGAGACTACTACTGACTATATGAAATTCTGTGAAATAAATGTTAATTCTCTTAAGACTATCAAGATTTATCCTAACAACAAAGTATGGGTTTCTAAGGAAATTAAATGGTGTCTTAATGAGAGGAAAATTGCATTATCAAGGAGGACTGAGTTTAGTAAGGGAAAAGAGGGGGAACTTACAAGCATCACTAGGAAAAGTAAGGTAGAGAAGCAATATATAATGGTAATTTGAGGGACGCTGGAATGGTCTCAATAATATGATGGGTAATGATGTAAGGAAGAGGGACATTTTTACCTCAAATACTGCTGCTTTTGCCAACTATTTAACACCAATTTATTGTAAATTGATTCCGTTGGGAACCACTTTGACCCATATCAATTTGCTTATAGGCGTGGTCGGGGCACTGTGGATGCAGCTCTGAACACACTTACTAAACACCTGCAGATGTTTAAAAGTTATATGACCTTGGTGTTAACGGATGGCTTACTTTATGGATTAATGACTTTGTTTCCCAACGGCCCCAGAGAGATCTCTTGAACGGCATTAGTTCAGAGCAACAGGTGCACCCCAGGGCGTGTCTTATCACCCATACGTACCGATACCAATGAGATGCAGATTCAAGACTCGACTTCTTATTTGTATAAGTACGTGGATCATATGGCTTTGGTTGGTTTAATGCATGAAGGAGAAGATGTGGGAGAGAGAGCATATTTAACCATATTGACAATTAATTAGCTGGTGTTCAAACAGTGCTGTAGTCATATATACCAGTAAAACTAAGCAGTTGGTAATCTGCAGGAATAACATCTCTCTTTGCCTAAACACAGTAAACATAATGACCGTCCTGTTGACATTGTGGAGGACTTTAAATACTTAGGTACCCTACTTGATAGAATATTGAGTTTTACAGCAAACTCTGACTAAGTATATCTATAAAAAGGCCATGCAACGTATGTATTTGTTGAGAAAGTGAACAGCTTCTCGTAAGCGAAAATACCCCAGAGCTGGTCTACAAAAGTCTCGTGGAGAGCATTCTCACATACAACATATCAACATGGTATGGTAATCTTGGGGCTAAGAATAGGTCCAAATTGACCAGATTGTGAAAATGGCTGTGAAAATCATACAAAAAACCACAGAGAAAACTGAGTGAGATATATACACTCCACTGCAGGCGTATATACGTGAGACGTATGTATGTGAGTGCTGCCAGTATTGCTGCGACGTTGAAGGGAGGGGTGTCAGCATGTGCTCAGTGCCCAGTGCTCAGACCATACACTGCACACTGCATCAAGTTGGTCTGCATGGCTGTCGTCCCAGAAGGAAGCCTCTTCTAAAGATGATGCACACAAGAAATCCCGTCTGATGAGACCAAGATAAACTTATTTGGTTCAGATGGTGTCAAGCAAAGACAAGTTTGTCCTGCCTACGGTCTAGCATGGTGGTGGGAGTGTCCTGGTCTGGGGGCTGCATGAGTGCTGCCTGCACTGGGGAGCTACAATTCAGTGAGGGAACATGAATGCCAACATGTACTGTGACATACTGAAGCAGAGCATGATCCCTCCCTTCAGAGACTGGGGCGCAGGGCAATATTCCAACATGATAACGACCCCAAACACACCTCCAAGACGACCACTGCTGCTAGAGAAGCTGCGTAAAGGTGATGGATGGCCAAGCATGTCTCCAGACCTAACCCTATTGAGCATCTGTGGGGCGTCTCAAACAGAACGTGGAGAGCGCAAGGTCTCTAACATTCACCAGCTCCGTGATGTCGTCATGGAGGAGTGAAGAGGACTCCAGTGGCAACCTGTGAAGCTCTGGTGAATCCAAGCCCAAGGGTTAAAGCAGTGCTGGAAAAAATGGTGGCCACAAAATATTGACACTTTGGGCCCAATAGGACATTTTCACATAGGGGTGTACATATATGATGAATATATTAAAGGCTGTGTGATGGTTATTTTAAGGGGACAGCAAATTTACACCGTATACAAGCTGTACACTCACTACTTACATTGTAGCATAGTGTCATTTCTTCAGTGTTGTCACATGAAAAGATATAATCCAATATTTACAAATATGTGAGGGGTGTACTCACTTTTGTGAAATACTGTATGTATTAAGCATACATCTAATTGCGAAAATCATTGTAAAACACCAACTTGATTCTGGTGGGACTGATTGCTCTCTACCACAATTTCTGAGAGAAAGACATTGATTAATGCTGTATCATAAGTTGTATAGCAGTGTTAGCATTAGTGCTGGTGGTATTAACTGTAGAAGTAGCTGTAATACTAGCACTACTACTAAGGAAGATTTTGAACTAGTTCAAGCCAACCGCCGTGATTAAGGGACATCTCACTCCAGACTTAATCATATTTGTAGCAATTATTCAAATAATATTAGAACTAAGTGCTTTCTGAATATATTAGACATGAGACATTGAGCTAATATATTGTAGTCTCAAAATCTCCTCTCTCTCTCTCTCTCTCGGTCCACACACACACACACTCTCCCACCTGGCAGCCGTTGTGGATGAGAGCATCCATGGCCATCCTGACAGGATTGGCGGCTCGCAGCCTCCACCTGGGTCTTAAAGTTGTGTTCGAAGTAGGGCCCCATCATATAGTAGTTCTCCCCCCATTCATCTACTGTGATCTTGGATTTGGTCTGAATCACTGTGTAGATTCCTCCAACTGCATGTTCACACAGTGAAAGGAGAAGACAGTTGCAAAGTCACATTTTTTACTTCTTATTAGTATTAGTATCATCAGCACAGTCCATGGTGGGGAGGAGGATCAGAAAACATTTTTTTCAGCCCCACCAGCAAATTCCACCTACATTGAATGTTACACATATTAGCAGGTTGCAAAAAACCATTCCCAGACCAACCATTCCCAGCACTTGGCGATACACCGGCAAAGAAAACTTATTATTATATATATAATATAAAAGGTCACAAAGAATGACTGTCTCCACCACATATTTGACATCTTGTCCAGGAATTTATTCATCAGTTTGTTCATTGTCAAGTTGTCTTGGATGTTTGTGCCTTTCATTATGAAGTTATAACTAAATTCAGGAATAGGACCACGCCGCTCTCTCTCACTAATTCAACCACCTGCATCTCAGTCAATTTCTCCAATCCAACCACCCATGCTTCACTCATTTCACACCTGTGCCTCTAATCCATTCACCTGACACCCACACACACACGAACACAGACCATTAGTTCGTGTGGGTTCTGGGACTGCAGCAAGATGGCGCCAGTGTGTGCGGAGCGAATCTGCTCAGTGTTATCTTTGCTGGTTTTTCTATGTATGCCGCAGAGATGTCTCGGCTTATATGTGTACGATCGCCAAGCTCTTCTCAACATCTGAGCCTCAGTGGAATCGCTCGCTTTCAAAATACGATCTAAGAGCCAAACTTCAAATCTCCCTCCCTTCTTATCCAGTACACCTATAGGCCTGTGGCACTTACCCAGTGCCTATTCCTGTAGAAACATCTTAGAAGACAGGGAAAGCGGGAAGGTTTACTGGTGAGATCCAAAGCCTACCGGATGTCCACCGATGCGATAAATCCTCGCCTCTGAGCGACAGCACTCCGCTGTCTACTCACCGGACTTTAGAGGCCGGTGGATCTGGCCTATTTATCCCGCTCAAACTGATGTCTGCTACCCATCGATAGAGGTGCCCGAACTCCGGCGGATGCGGGCTCGTTAAGGTGGCGTGAACCACGAGAACCTTCAGCCACTAGGCCGTGCTTCATCATCAGGCAGAGGGGAGCTTGTCTTTCGCATGGCCCTGATCAACGTTAGATCACTAGCAAACAAGATATTCCTGCTCAATGACTTCTTCACCTCTCGGGAGTTGGATTTTATGTTCTTGACGGAAACCTGAATCCATCTGGTGAATCTAATCTTTTCTCAGAACTTCTTCCTCCCGACTGTACATTTCTCAGCTCCCCGCGGACCACTTGGAGGGGTGGAGGTCTAGCTGCTGTATTTAAATCCACTTTCCACAGACTCCCAGTGACATCTTCGCTAGCTTCGAACTGCAACTTTACGAATTCAACCATCCTTTTCCTGTGTTGTATGCGGTTGTTTATTGCCCTCTGAAGTTCAAAAAGGACTTTGCGGGGTTTCTGGCAGTGATTATGTTAAATATAATCCTCTTCTTATTGTGGTGTTTTAATATTCACCTATGCTGTGAAAAAAATCCTTTGGCCAAAGATTTTATGAATCTTACTGACTCATTCAATCTTAACCAGTCAGTGACATGAAAAAATCTGTGTCCATATCAAGGAAATCTGTAACCGGTATATCCAATCACCTGTCTGTTCTGTTCACTGCTACCATCCCCTGCTCCAGGATCGCAGCTTGTCATCCTACTCGTCGTCAGCATGCGATCAACCCTTCAACTACGCTGCAGTTTGCAAATGCTTTTAAAGAATCTAAACTCTGTAACTTGGATGGTGACTGTGGTCTCAGTGCTGATGAGCTCATTTCCTCCTTTGGCTCCACCTGCACTGATATCCTGGACTCTGTTGCTCCTTTTAGAATTAAACTCCCAAAGTCATCCACAGAACCATGTCAACTCCAGGTCTCCCTAGAAATTCTAAGAGACTACTTTGCAAGCTATCAGAGAGCCGTAAAAATCTTGTCTCCAACAAGAATCATAGGCCCCAGGTTCTCTTCAAAAATCTAAACTCCTTTATAAATCCTAGCGATGCAGCTCAAATTGTGCCCACACCTACATTATGCGAAGATTTTAAAACGTTTTTTACTGGAAAGATTTCTGTGCTTAGATCTTTACCAACCTCCTCTGCCATAGACCCTTCAGTTCCTCCTACATACTCACCTGTCTTTAAGCAGTTTGTGCCTGCATCACTCTCCTCACTATTTAAGATTGTCCCTCAGATATCCTTCCCTCTCGTCTTTTAAAGGACGTTTTTAATACTGTTGGGTCCAGCATTCTTATTTTAATAAACACATGTCTTAGCGCAGGGTGCGTACTTATCTAGATGAGCCCCCACCCTGAGTCTCGACCCATGGGTTCCTAGCCGCTCCAGCAACCAAACCCTAAACAACCCCCTTCATCCCTCCATTCTCAACCCCTTTATCCCTCTCCCCTCCATCCCAATTATAATTACTATAGTGATGATAATAATAATAATAATGTAATAATAATAATTAAAGCTGCAAGCAGCAATGGGCGGGCCCTCACACGTGTAGCGCGTCGAGGTGTGAGGCAGCCGTGTTGTAGATTTAGGGGCTCTGACAGTGTGGCTGTGAATTTGCCATGGGCTTCGGACGCTGTACAAACGTGTTAATCATCACTTCCTGTGTCCCCTTTGTGGTGCTACATAGCACTTTGCACTACAACTATTACTGAACATGTAGATGTGTTGGGCGTGACTGTTATCAAGCATGTGAGCATGTACACTGAAGTTAAAATCAAATTCCTGTTTTCTGATGAATCATCGATTCTGGACGCCACGCCATGGCCACGCCCTTCCACAACTTTTAATCATCAATGGCTTTAGACCGCACAGCACAAACCTGAAGTCGATCGGACTACATTCCTAGAAGGAGTTCGTTAAAGTACGGAGTGTGTAAATCATCCAAAAATGACCATAAAATTCAAAATGGCTGACTTCCTGTTGGGTTTAGAGCATCGCTCCAAGAGGCTTTTTTGTACGTCTGTACAGTCAAGTTACAACAACTTTCTCTGTCATGGCAAAGAGTGGGACTTCGCTGCCATGCCACCGCCACGTTTTTAACCAAAAAATCAGAAGTTTTACATTATGGCTTCATCAATGTGTTCAGGGTTTTCTGGGACAGTTTTGAAGTTGATTCGTCCAACCTGCTAGGAGTAGTACATTACAGCATAAAACATGTCATTTCCTGTTGCCAGCAGGTGGGTTTAAAGTGCACAGAGAAAATTTGAAGTTGATCGGACCAAATCTCTAGGAGGAGTTTGTTAAAGTACAGAGTGTGTAAATCATCCAAAAATGACCATTAAATCCAAAATGTCCGATTTCCTGTTGGGTGTTGGGCATCGCTCCAAGAGGCTTTTTTGTACGTCTGGACATGATACATGTGCCACAGAAATTCCATACTGTACATGTAGGTGAAACTTTTTTCAGGGCTGCTCGGTAGGGGGTGCTAGTGAGCCATTTTGACACGTCTGAAATATGTGCAAAGTTTGGTGAGTTTTTGAGTATGTTTAGGCCCCCAAAATTGAGGTTACTTTGAAGAAAGAAAAAAAAAATCCCTTCAGTTTCAATAGGGACCTCACACATTTCGTGCCTGGGCCCTAATAAATAATCCCTTCAGTTTCAATAGGGACCTCACACATTTCGTGCCTGGGCCCGAATAAATAATCCCTTCAGTTTCAATAGTGACCTCGCACGGTTCGTGCTCGGACCCTAATAATAATAACTAGAACTAGAACAGCCAGAGTCTGAAATTAAAGGGACTTGCGGTTACGGAGATCTAAAATGAATGTATGTCTATGGGAGTGTCATTTGATATACTATTAATAGCGCCACCTAGAGGCCGATAGACACCAAATTCCATACAGCCCCTCTGGAAGGTGTGCCAGAAAAGTTCCCCAGGGTTTGGTGTAGATCGGCCATTCCAAACCTAAGATATGACATCACTTCCTGTTTTTAGTGTTTTTCGCAAATGTTTGTTAGCTTATAATTGGGACATTTTTTAAAATAGGTTTTTCAGTTTTCGCGATTTTGAGAAAAAAAGGTTAGGTGGAAATAGCCCGAATGCATGGGTATAAGGTTTTCTGATATGCGCCTTTGTATGCGGGAATTCCATGCCCAAAGGCGTTGACCTTGCTAAAAGTTCCCCCCTAGGCTATAAACACACGCACACACACACACACACACACACACACACACACACACACACACACACACACACACACACACACACACACAAGCTAGCAGGATGATTACACACAGGTGAAACACAGCTCATATAAGAAGTCAAGTACAAGACACTTTCAAAATTAAACAGGAAACTAACAGAACTCCAAAACAAACCATGACAAACCACTTTCACCACTTATCTGAAGTTTAATGTTTAGCTCTTCAAAGTAAGCCGACTCCTAACTCCCACGCTCACTGGATTTCAATATTTGCTCTTTCAGGGGCAAAGATTACAATACATAATCCCAATTCTGCCACACAGACAGACTTTCTGTGCTAAGTTATTATAATTATTAGTGGACTTATTTCATTTATTAATATTAGTGTAAATGGTTTTTTTCCAGTTATTATTCAATCAGAGAAATCTTCAGAGAAACGAGGTAGTTTTCTGCCAAAGTCATTTTGTCACTTCATTATGGCTGATTAATCCAAAAGGAAGACTATATCCAAATACCTGAAATGCTGAAATGCATGTGTGTCAGTATAGTTGTATAATTTGGAATACTTTGGAAGGCCATGTGTAGTTGAACTCATGATCATCAATTCAAACACATTATTGTTATATGTTATATAATTATTATTAAAGAAAAATTACAATTGTGAATTGACCTTTGTTGGTGACTTCCCAGGCCACCTCAAAGAGCAGCAGGTCCTCCACTGGCAGCTCGTCCTCCTCCCAGGCCAGCAACAGCCCGCTCAGGGAAGTCATAGACAGGGAACGTGACAGCGGCATCTTTAAAACAAAAGAATTTCCCCTCGGGGATCAATAAAGTATTTCTGATTCTGAAACTTCTCGAGGTCCGACAGACGTCACCTGGAATCTAGAAAGCGGCAGTTAGAAACAGCTCTGCAGGTCCTTGGCTCAGCATGGACAGTCCTCCAGGAAACAACAGGACAAGAGAAAAGAGGCCAAAGAGCTTCCACCCCGCCTACTGAGGCTGACCTCCAGCCAACAGGAGGGAATGTTTACCTTCCATACACACATGCAGTCATGTTTCCAGCACTTCAGAGGACATTACATTGACTTACATTCACCCTAACCCTAACCTTTAACCTAGGCTTTACCCTTAAATTTAATGATTTATCTTATGGACCTATGTTTTGTCCCCAAAAAGAAGGTAAGTCCTCACACGGTGTAAAAAGATGTATGTCCCCATAAAATGAGTAATACATTGTCCACACACACACACATAGACTTCAGGAGTGAAAGAATTGGTGGAGTCATGTGTGATGAACTGAATGTGATTGTGAAATGAATGAAAGTAGGTCAGGGACAGGGGGAAGAACTCACAGACAGTGCCAGAAAATTAAGAATATAAGAATGTATCCATCCTATGGCAATGTATCCAATAATGAGTTTCAACATACAGTACGGATGGCTACCCTGCTTTTATGCTTTTTTAAAGATTTTAATGATTATTTTTCACTTTTTTGCAGACAAATTGAGAAAAAGTGTAGATGAACTAAAAGGTAAATTTTATGCCTGGCCCGATGTTTAAATATCAGGGATGTGATTTTTCCAGATTTCCGACCTGATAATCTGACCATGTGAATCATGCAGATCTGTAAAAAAAAATCAAAAAGGGGAGTAGTGTAATTGATTACTATTTCCAAAACAGTTATATTACTTAAGTTACTATTCCATGTAACGCTGCGTTACTGAGCTACTGAACGCACCATTCCTGACGTGAATGATGAGCTGCAGGTCAGGGCACTGGACCTTATGTTATTTAAGTCAGCTGTAAGCCAAAAAGAATGGAGAATTAGGGAGAGAGGCTTTTTTCCACAGCTGTAAGTAGCTACTGCCATTATTGGTCGCTGGTTGCTGTTTACATTCCACCTCAGGCCTGTGTTAGTGAGGCCTTACTACGGCTGTGGCTCAGGAGGTAGAGCGGGTTGGCCGTTAATCGGAAAGGTCGGCGGTTCAATCCCTGGCTCCCCCTGGTTGCGTGTCGAAGTGTCCTTGGGCAAGATACTGAACCCCGAATTGCCCCTGGCGGCTATTCCGCCAGTGTATGAATGAGTGTGAATGTTAGTTTCCGTTTGAGCACTTAGGCTCAGTGTATGAATGTGTGTGACTGGTGAATGCAGATGTAGTGTAAAAGCGCTTTGAGTAGTCGAAAAGACTAGAAAGGCGCTATACAAGTACGGAGCATTTACATTTACATTTACCTGTCCGACCAGATAAATAACATGGAGAAAAAACATCCAGTCTTCCTGCTCATTGTTCTTGGGGACTTCAACAGAGAAAACCTCAGCCATGAACTCCCAAAGTACAGACAGCATATTAAGTGTCCCACCAGGGACACACTGGACCACTGCTACACTACATTAAAGGACGCCTATCGCTCTGTCCCCCGTGCAGCCTTAGGACTCTCTGATCACTGTCTGGTTCAGCTTATCCTGACACACATGCAAAAACTGAAATCTGCTAAACCTGCTGTAAAGTCAGTGAAAAGATGGACCAACGAGTCAAAGCTGGAGTTACAGGCCTGCTTTGACTGCACTAACTGGAGTGTTTTTGAGGCTGCAGCCACTGGCCTGGACGAACTAACTGACACTGTGACATCTTATGTCAGTTTTTGTGAGGACGTGTGTGCCGACTTAAACCTTCCGCACATACAACAACCAAAAACCCTGGTTCACAGCAAAACTCAGGCAGCTTTGTCAGACCAAGGAGGAGGCCTTCAGAAGTGGGAACAGAGTCTTGTACAACCCAGCCAGGAACACTCTGACTAAGGAGATCAAAGCTGCAAAGAGATGCTATGCTGAAAAGCTAAATAGTTAAACTAAGTAGTTAAACAGTTTTGCAGCCAACGATCCTGCGTCAGTGTGGAGAGGCCTGCACACACTCACCAACTACAGGAGACCATCCCCCAACACCGCTGGTACTCAACAACTGGCAGACGAGCTGAATGGCTTTTATTGTAGTCAACTTGGGACTACATCACATCCTGCAACACCTCGACACTCCAGGGACATAGGCAAGGATCCTGTTTGTGGACTTCAGCTCGATGTTTAACACCATCATCCCGGACATCCTCAGCACCAAACTCACCCAGCTCACTGTGCCAGCCTCCACTTGTCAGTGGATCACAAACTTCCTGACTGACAGGAGTCAACAGGTGAGGCTGGGAAACATCACATCCAGCACCCGGACAATTAGCACTGGCGTCCCCCAGGGATGTGTGGTTTCTCCACTGCTCATCTCCCTCTACACCAACGACTGCACCTCAGGAGACCCATCTGTCAAACTCCTGAAGTTTGCTGATGAGACAACGGTCATCGGCCTCATCCAGGACGGTGATGAGGGACAGTTATATTATCCAAGATGGCGCTGAGTATAGCTGCCTCTGTGTTCGGTGCGCTTTGTTTTGTTTTGTTTTTGTGTGTTAATTCAGTTTTCGTCTGTGATTCCCGATACTCTTTCACCAGGGAGGAGCTCATGAACATCAGGGGAACAACTCCAGCGGATTTAATTCCCACTTTTCTTGCATCATCAGTGGAATTATTGGACATTTTGGTGAAGGGCTCGCTCGCTGACATTAGCGCTGTGAAGCGCCGCAGAGAGGGAAATGAGCTGGGTCACTTGTGTGTCTTTGCCGGCAGGGACTCCGGCACCAAATCACAACAACAGTTATCTCACAGCGCTTTTCATAAAAGAGCAGGTCTAGACCGTACTCTATGATGCTATTTACAGAAGCCCAACAGTTCCCACCAAGAGCAGCACTAGGAGACAGAGGCAAGGAAAAACTTCATTTTAAGAGGCAGAAACCTCGAGCAGAACCATGGCTCAGGGTGGGCGGCCATCTGCCTCGACCGGTTGGGGTGAAGGAGAGAGGGGTGGGGGTGGGGGTGGGGGGGCGCAAGAGAGAGAGAGAGAGAGGGCAGGAGAGGAACAGAGAGAAAAAGAGAGGGATGGAAGGAGAGAGAGGGGAGGGAGGCAGCCTACACAATATACACACAGAGGTACAGACAGTAAAGGTGATGTTGCTATAGACTAAATGAAAAACGGTACAGAAATTTATAGTAGTGTTAATGATAACAATCGTAATGTTAATGATTATAATAACAATAATAACAATAGGACTAGTAACAGTAGTCGTTGCAGCAGAGGGTGTCGAGCAGGAACACGGGGGCAGCAGGTGACCCGCAGCCACAGATCCAGACTCCACAGCTCCAGAGCCAGAAACACCTGCAGGAAGTGATAGGAGGAGAGAGGAGAGGGACGAGAAAGCACAAGACTACCAGAAAGGGGAGAAGTTTTGTTAGTAACATGCAATAATGGGATGAGGTTGCATACAGAGGGAGAGAAAGTAGAGGAGAGAGGAGCTCAGTGCATCATAGGAAATCCCCCGGCAGTCTAGGCCTATAGCAGCATAACTAAGGGATGGTTCAGGACTCACCTGAGCCAGCCCTAACTATAAGCTTTATCAAAGAGGAAAGTCTTAAGCCTACTCTTAAATGTGGAGATGGTGTCTGCCTCCTGAACCCAAACTGGAACCTGGTTCCACAGGAGAGGAGCTTGATAGCTGGACGCTCTGGTTCCTAGTCTACTTTTGGAGACTCTAGGAACCACAAGTAACCCTGCATTCTGGGAGCACAGTGCTCTGGTGGGGTAGTAAGGTACTATGAGCACCATTACAGTCATCATCATCATCATAGTCATAATCATCATCATAGTCATTATCATCATCATAGTCATCATCATCATCATCACAGTCATCATCATCATCATCATCATAGTCATTATCATCATCATCACAGTCATCATTATCATCATTCTAGTCATTATCATCATCATCATAGTCATTATCATCATCATAGTCATCACTATTACAGTCATCATCATCATCATCATAGTCATCACCATCATCATCATAGTCATCACCAATACAGTCATCATCATCATAGTCATAATCATCATCATCATAGTCATAATCATCATCATAGTCATTATCATCATCATAGTCATAATCATCATCATAGTCATCATCATCATCATCATCATCATCATCATCATCATAGTCATAATCATCATCATAGTCATCATCATCATCATTCTAGTCATTATCATCATCATCATAGTCATCACTATTACAGTCATCATCATCATCATAGTCATCACCATCATCATCATAGTCATCACCAATACAGTCATCATCATCATAGTCATAATCATCATCATCATAGTCATCACCAATACAGTCATCATCATCATAGTCTTAATCATCATCATCATAGTCATCACCAATACAGTCATCATCATCATAGTCTTAATCATCATCATCATAGTCATCACCAATACAGTCATCATCATCATAGTCTTAATCATCATCATCATCATCATCATAGTCATCACCAATACAGTCATCATCATCATAGTCTTAATCATCATCATCATAGTCATCACCAATACAGTCATCATCATCATAGTCATAATCATCATCATCATAGTCATCACCAATACAGTCATCATCATCATAGTCTTAATCATCATCATCATAGTCATCACCAATACAGTCATCATCATCATAGTCTTAATCATCATCATCATAGTCATCAACAATACAGTCATCATCATCATAGTCATAATCATCATCATCATAGTCATCACCAATACAGTCATCATCATCATAGTCTTAATCATCATCATCATAGTCATCAACAATACAGTCATCATCATCATAGTCTTAATCATCATCATCATGGTCATCAACAATACAGTCATCATCATCATAGTCATAATCATCATCAGGGTGCGAATTATACAGTGACAACCGGGTCAAAAACAGGAAACCTTCTTACAAACTTACAAACTTACAAACTTTACAGTTTCCTTGCCTTGCCCTGTCAAAATGTATATCTAAAATAACTAATCCCCATTTCACTGCTCATGCCTAAACACCAGTGTTGG